CGGTTTCCGGTAATTTGTAGAACTCGAACACCAAGGATTAAAGTCATCTCGATACTCAAGTAAAATTTTTACAATGTACTTTCTTAACTCGGCAAAGAGGACTTCCAAAACATGGATCAGGGTTGAATTTCTGTTGTTCTGGTCAAATGTTTTGCTTTTGCTGATCGCCTCTTTCTAGATTTTGGTTTGCTGTGAGTTTTTAGTTTAGGACATAGTCTAATGTTCCTTCGTGCCGAGTTCTTACTTCCAAGTAAGGTATGAATCTTGGGTTGTAGTGGTCTCGGCATTAAATTGTTCTGGCAAAAGATTATTGTTGGTTAGTATGCTTGGCTTAAAGACTATTGGTGGTAGCACAAGTGCACTAGTCCGCCTCTATAAAAACAATACAATAAATATGGGTATCTAAAAAACTAGCAGGACCTACTAAAGGTTTTAGGCCATGTTTTGTCAAGGCCGAGCAGAGAAGTCAAGGGTCAGAAGTGTTACATGGGTATCAAAAGAACTAACGACTCCTGAAGAACATTTTATTTGAGCACAAAACCACCATACTGTAATACTAATATAACAAACCATTAGATCCATATTTCAAATATAAGAAGATATCGATGAATCGAAATTGCTTATCGTTCCTTAGCCTAAGCAGAAAATTCTCATCATCGAACTTAGTCAAGGTAATGATATAATGAATCTATAATCGGAGTTTAATCACTCTCACTTATAACCAAAGTTATCATGCCCTAAAGCATCAACCAATCAGATTGCGTATATCTGCTTAACGTAAGCATACAATGTTTATCATCGAACAAGATCAAAGCAGTCACCTAATGGACGCCTACACCAAGTTTGAACATTCTACCTCAATCAGAATGAGAGTTGGTGTGTTCCAAAGTCTCGAACAATCAAATTGCTTATCGCTCTGCTTCTTACCCTGAGCAGAAAATGCTCATTATCGAACTTAGTCAAGGTATTGATGTACTAAAACTATACACCAAATTTCATCACTCTCACTTAATTAGAACTAAAGTTATCGTGTCCCAAAGCATCAACCAATCAAATTTCTTTTCTCGGCTTACCCATCGCAGAAAAAGCCCATCTTCGAACCCCATCACGCCATTGACCTCATCAACACCTACTCCAAGTTTGAACATTCTACCCCAATTAGAAGGAGAGTTATTGTGTTCCAAAGTCTCGGCCAATCAAATCGCTTATCGCTCTGCTTACCCTGAGCAGAAAATACCCATTATCGAACTTAGTCAGGCTATTGATGTAATGAAACTATACGCCAAGTTTGATCACTCTCACTTAATTAGAACTAAAGTTATCGTGTCCCAAAGCATCAACCATTCAAATTGCCTTTCTCTGCTTACCTAAGCAGAAAATGCTCATCTTCGAACTCCACCAAGGCATTGGCTTAATAAACATCTACACCAAATTTGAACATTCTAGCTATATTAGAAGGTGAGTTATTGTGTCCCAAACAGTGTGACGGGCGGACGAGCCCATTTTAATTGACCCCTTATTCCAACAGTCATTCTGTTAATGACTGCTCAAATGAGCAGCCTTTTGGTTGGAATTTCATCGTTATATATATATATAAGATGATGATATGATTATTATTATTAAAATTGCCACGAAAAAAGCATGACCCCAGACACAGCAGAATACAGTGACCAATGAACTACATTCAGTCACAGTTATCTGTCCCGCCTGTTTTGTTCCCTTTTCAGTGATTACTTTAAAGACAACGGCAGCTTGAACTGCTGTTGGTCCGCGTTCATCTTAAAGATAGATGATGCATCATATGCATGGTTGGAAAAAACTTGTCCCAAAGGATCTAAAAATTGATTTACAGCAAATTTGTTAAGGCCTTGAGCACACAAAGACAATACTTGTCTTTTTTTTTTCAGGTGTTCTGAGACTCAAAGTAGGATGTCTCCTCATAAAACAGGATATCCATTCCTGTCCAGCCCCACAATATTCAGACCAGCCATCTGGCATTACTATGTTAAGAGTTTGGGCATATTCATAGACAAATGACCGTGGAACATTTTTGAACAATGAACAAGATAATCTTGAAGGGTTTTATCCCGGAGAGATGAGAATACTTGTCTATTATTGTATTTTGACTTAATATCTTCATCGGATATTTCTTGTTTTGTTTCTAATGTCTTGTCATACCGACCCAGTGTAATTCTGCCGAAGGGATTTACCAACTCGCACCTCTGCAACTATTCACTTCATGACAGTACAATCACGATTGCCACGGCCAATGTTGGGTTTGAAGTTGATTATATACTATCATGCACTGGGGTATATTTAACCAGTGATTCAACGTACCTCATTGAAGTTGTTTAATCTGTATAATCACAGATTTATGATCAAAATTTAAAACAAATTAAAATCGTCTCCGTGGAGCAAGCCCTTGTTTATCTGGGTTAGCGATTAGACATATATGAACTGTTTGTAAGTACAGGAATTTCCTAGGCTAAACGGGTAGTAGTGAATTTTCACTTTCACTCACCTGTTTCGAAAAGATCAGCACCTAACAAATAATTGACAACCTGTTGCTTCTGCTTATTGATGAAGAAATAGACATAAGGGTTGTCTCCCTTTTATGTAGCCTTGGGTTGCCTAGTATTATTTATCAAGAATATATTAATGGTGGTTCAATGTACCCAAATGATCAATGTAACTTTGCCTCCGCAACTTTTGACAGGTGGTGCAGCATACCTGATAAACATGTTTATTTATTAAGATTGTCCATATTAGCTGTAATTGGTTCAGTTGTCGGTTGCTGACTACCTTATAACCCACTATCAGTTGAAGTGATTACGATAGGCAAGTCATGACGTATACATTGTGTTTAATCTGGGTATTCGCCCATGTGGCTGAAGCAACGAGAGAGAGAGAGAGAGATATGGGGTTTAATGTCCACTCAACACAAAGTAGGCCATTTCGGGGCAGTGTTATTTCATTAATTCGCTTGCGTTTAGGGGTCTTTATCAGTGGAAGGACCCGGAGAAAACCAACGAGGTTCAACAGGCGACCCTACGCCTTGTCAGGTACAAGCGGAGAATCGACACTTCGCCACTTGACTCAGGGACAGATCTAATGTCGTCACCAACTCCCCTCTGAAGCAATGAACACGAGCTTTACAATATCAACCTTCGGATGTTCGGAGTTCATGGGAGATCAAGCCTCTTTTTGAGGTTCCCAATTACCCAAAGGATTTATTTTAATATGGCGTCCGCGTGTTGCTTCTTTTTGTTACAATAAATCTATCAAATGTGTTATCTGCGTCGAGTGTCTGACCTTCGCAATTCATCTCAATCTGTAATTTACGGTTCCATTGCAATATGGCGCCCCGAGCGTTGCCTAAGTCTGTAATCTACGGGTGTCTAGAAAATTCTGATATCGTCATATGTCTGTTGTAGAAATATAACAATATCTTATGTCTCGTGCCTGACCTTCCCAATTGAGCTTAATCTTCAGATGTTACATTTACCTTTGCCATCCATCAAAATATAGAATTATCTGTTAGTCGCGTGACAAACCTTTCCTACGGTGTTACTAATTGCCGACAAGGAGGCAATTTCATTTATCCACAATTGTGTCAATTTGTTTATGAAATCATTTGAATTTTAGATATGTGTAGAATATGCACATTTATAACATATCTTTCCTTGTCAGTCACATTTTGCATTATTCAATATTGAAAAACAACCCGATCTGTGTTAGTTAGTTCGACCCTTAATTTACGGGGTCTAGTAGCTGCCATCTACTCTGTCTTTTGTTGCGTCCATTATTGTTAGTTTGAATTTTCATTACAGGCCAGGAACCGTACAGCAAAGTGGACACATTTGTTGTTTGTGGTGTCGGTATGGTGTCTTGTCCGTAGGTTTGTCTTGTGTAATTGTGTGTAGTGCTGTCCCCCTGCACTTACTATATGCTTACATAAACAGATGAAACATCTAAAACTAATGGTCCTTTGCTATAAGTAAGGCAAGTAACATCTCGGCTCAACAGTCCCCGAGGGCATGTCTGTGGACTGTGTACTACACATTTGATTGGCTCCTGGGGGGTTGGATGGCTGAATGGTTAGCACGTGCGTGCTGTGTCATAAAGTCTGTCATTGAGTCAACTGGCGTGGTTTCGAATCCCCGGTTGTACGTGACAAGGAGTAGGGTCGCCTGTCCAACTTCGTGGGTTTTCTCCGGGTCCTCCTCCCACTGCTAAAGACCCCTACGCGCAAGCGAATTATGGAAATAAAATTGAACCATATGTTAGTCCCGAAATGACAGAGTTTGTGTCGAGCGGACGTTAAACCCCATTTCTCTCTCTCTCTCTCTTGATTGGCTCCGTTGGTGAAAAACCCAACGCCATTGCGATGGTCAGGGCCCAAGGCAGTAATAGTCTACTGTGAATGCCAAGACGTCATTCATTGCGGGACGTAAAACATCGTTTACTCAATGACAGCTGCCCTTATGTATATCATCTAACGTCCCCAACAACATCCTCCAGTTTTGAACGGGTTGTTGGATCTAGACAAAACAAGAGGGGGGGGGGGGTAACGACCACTTGACACAAACTATGTCATTTTGGACATGGTACCATTATATTTCAATAAAAAACTGACACTCTAAACATTTTTGGACTAACGTATGGTTCAATTGTATAAGGTTCTTTAGCACTGAGCAATGGGTTGACCCGGAGAAAACCCACGAGGCTGAACAGGCGACCCCATGCAAAATGTCGCCTACAATTGTTGGATCAAAAATACTCCGCCACTCAATTACAGACCTTATGATCTAAACAATTCGCTCCACCTCCCCCATGTCATTTGAATGGGGTTTAACGTCCTACTGTTCTGCTCCGACTGGGCTAACGAAGACGGCATACGCCATACAGTGTGCTATGAGTGAAATTTTGCCCGGACACCAGCGCTACTGCCTACTCGTATCTCGAATTCCAACTACCATTGGGATTAAACTGACAACAAATTTTATACAAGTGCTTTATTTCTTTCCGTACATAAGAGAACACGAGAAATAGTTGGATCTAAAATCACACGTTCCTCGACAGGGGTTATAAAACATGTTACCATTACACCGACACTTCACAGCAAATAGATTGGCTTGACACACTAAATAATAAACATTATCTTCCCATGGGATGCGCTCATTTCTCGCTGGACATCGCGCTGAAAGGCAAAGAATGAAAGTTCAGATACGAGTTATGCGTTGAAGTCGTTAGCAGACTTGACGGTACCAGTGGTCACGGACGAGGTGGTGGGGGGCGCACTATGCATTGGGGTCGTTAGAAACTTGTCTGTACCAGTGCCCACGAAAGGGACGGGGGGGGGGGGGAGACTATCAACCTATCTAGGAAAATATAATATATTCGACTTTTATCGCAGCCTAATGGGCCAATTTCCCTCATTTCTGATTGATATGATTTCTGATGCACCTTTAGCCTAGATCGCAACCCGCCTTTTTGACACGCACGGGTCGTAGAGTTTGGTACCCCGCAAACCGGCAGCAAGAAACCGGGTGAAAATTTTGTACGTACAGGACCAAAAGCCTCTACGATAAGAACCCAGCATGAGGTACTCTTGGAATAATGACGTCATGTCAACAATTGACGCCCTTCAACCATAGGCGTTCTTCGAAAGAGCGTCGCCCTCATAAAGAACAACAAGATGGGCAGCCCTTGCGGGGAGGGGATGGGGATTTGATTGCTGGTCCAATAAACATAAAAACTTAAATTAAAGATTGAAGCGGATCAGTTAATACTCACATGGAACGGGCCAGACCATGCCACACTGGGGCACACGGGGTGTTGTGTAAGGGTTGGTGGTTGGAGGAACATAGTAGGATGTGGTGGGTGGTCGATACGTGGTTGTGGTCGTGGTTGTGGAGGTGGATGTGGATGTGGAAGGTGGCACGTAAACTGTGCTGGATTGGGTAGAGTCACTGAAATGAGAAGAGGTGGTTTGAAAATTCATCATGCGTGTCTGTGTAAAGGGGTAGCAGGGTCGTGAGAAATCGCACGCATGACTTACGTGAAACATAAATAACTAAACATAAAGCTAATCGTCAATTTCTGCTGCACCGTCCTTTCCAGCATTTCCGCCAGCATTTCCGCCCGCGTTTCCTGCAACGTTCCCTGCAACATTTCCTGCTGCGTTTCCTGCAACATTTCCTGCAGCATTTCCTGCAACATTTCCTGCGGCGTTTCCTGCAACATTTCCGACCACAATTCCTGCGGCATTTCCGGCAGCGTTTCCTGCAATATTTCCTGCAATATTTCCTACGGCATTTCCAGCCGCGTTCCCTGCACCATTTCCGACCACGTTCCCTGCAACATTTCCAGCGATATTTCCCACATTATTGCCGCCTCTATTGCCTGGAATTTGTTTAGGTTTTCTTCTATTTTTGCCGGCATTACCTTTTCCAACTTTACCTACACTGAAATATGTAGACGAAAACACAAACAATTCATATACAGTCAACCCTATATTAAGCGACCTAGGTCTTGTAATACAAGAGAGAGAGAGAGAGAGAGAGAGAGAAATGGGGTTAACGTCCAATCGACACAAACTAGGTCACTTCGGGACTAACACATTGTTTTTTTTGTTTTTTAATTCAATAATTCGCAGTGGGAGGAAACCGGAGGACCCGGAAAAAACCCACCAGATTGGGCAGGCGACCCTACTCCTTGTCACGTACAACCGGGGATTCGAAACCACGCCAGTTGACTCAATGACAGGCCTTATGATACAGCACGCACGTGCTAACCATTCGCCCATTCAACCCTCCTCTTTTAATACAGCTCACCATAGATTTTCAATACGTTATGAGATGTGATGATTCCAAAATTATTCATTGGAATGAGATTAGTCCTTCTAGTGAGGATCTATTGCTTTCGTTAAATTATTATTATTATTATAGCAGTCTTATATTTCTAAATTTATCAGCGTGGCACACCTTGTCAGCGGCGCAAGACGGAACATCTGGAAGGGAAAATCTCCAGCCTGGTTGCCCATTACCAGTAATCCAGGACATAGGGCCTGGACAAGAACTTATCGTTCGGATGGGACATAAAACCGATGTCTCGTATATACACGTGACAGCTTGAATTCGAAGAATTTTTTCACGTCTTCATTAGCCCGGATAAAGCAGACAAATATGACATTAAACACCATTTCATTTCACTTAATTAGTGTTAGTCCCGACGACGAGGAAATTAAACCAAGTAATTACGCTTCATTAGACATGTTAGTCTTGACAAGTAGAGGAGGGGGGGGGGGGGGTAAACGTCAACTCGACCAAAACTAGGTCATTTCAGGACTAGCATACTAACATATCGTTAAATTTTAATTTCATAATTCGATTGCTCGTAAGGGACTTTAGCACATGGGGGAAACCAGAGAAAATCCACGAGGCTGGACAGGCGATCCCACTCCTTGTCACGTACAAGAGGCAAACCGAAACCACGCCATTTGACTCAATGACACACCTTATAATGCAACGCACGTACGTTAACCATTCGGCCACCCATTCCATTTGATTTATGTCCATTTTGTAATAAATTAAAATGAAATGGGGTTTAACGTCCTACTGTTCTGCTCCGAACTGGGCTAATGAAGACGGGCATACGCCATACAGTGTGCTTTGAGGGGAATTTTGCCCGGACAGCGGCATTACGGCCTACTATTATATCGAATTCCAACTGTCAAGGGATCTTTTACGTGCACGCCAATGTGTACAGGGTACCTCGGTTTTTCGTAACATCCGAACGACAAGACGGCTATTCTTGTCAGGCCCTCCGTCCTGCATCATTGACAAGGGGAAACCACACCGGAAAATCTAGATGAACTTTCTCGGCCGATGCAGGGAGATCGAACACCCGACCTCCAGACTAGCGAGCCAGCGTCTTACCCTCTTAGCCACCGTGACCCCCTCATTTTGTAGTGAACAAATGTTGTATTGTGGTTGAGATGTATTATTGATTGGGTTGTTAACTGTATAAAGATTGTTAATCTTGATCTAGCTGTTAAACACCAGACAGGTCTCCAGACAAAACGGATACTTAACCTTTTAATAATTCATATTTGTCAGGCCCTCCAGTAATAAATATTATACTGTGTCTAATGAGATCCCACAGTCATTGTTTAAAACTATATTCCAGAAAGAGCGGAGAGAGGAAGGGGGAGACTAACGTCCACTCGACACAAACTAGGCCATTTCGGGAATAACATACGGTTCAATTTTATTTCTAAAAGGAGTCATTAGCCGTCAGCTTACCCGGAGGAAACCCCCGAGGTTGGACAGGCTACCCTAAGCTACTTTATGACAGACCCTATGATCTAAAGCGCACACGTTAGACCATTAGGACACATAACCTTTTGTTTTACTTATTCCGCCTGCTTACACCAAGAAAGTTGCAATTTTGCAAGGTTTTATATAAAAAAAAAGAAAACAATATGGACTTACGCTCCAGCCGGAAGTTGTTGTTGTAAAGTGGTTAAAAGCGGGTAATTGCCTCCACCACACGTGTTATTCTCATCATCTTGATCCAAGGCCCACACCATAGATCCAGCTAAACCGTTTACTCGGATATAATTAGCCTAAAAATAACAATACTTCCATATTACAAAAGCCACTTAGCTCCCCACGCCCCGCCCAACCGCCAATCCCCCACCTTCTCGACTAGCGGGAGACGGAAGTGTGATTTATTGAAAAAAACCGGGGATGATGACCGATGTTTAAGATTCATTCAAATTACTTCATTCTGAACCAGGTTATCACTGTAGTTGTGACAAAATGTGTGCATTGTGGTAACCAGGGCACTGGTATATTGGAGACTTAGCCACGCTTTCCCAGTTTTAAATTGAATTCTTAAATGGCGAATCGTTCTTATCTAGTTAAAAGCTGCAAATATCTGATGCCATCGTGAGTTGATTATGGTCTTGTTTTGTTAAAATGTCTAATTAATAGTTTATATAACATTTCAGACCTAAAGAAAGACTTGCAATAGGCAGATTTAGTCCTTGCATCATGTATGTGTAATGATAATATGAATAACAAATGACCTACCTTTAGTGCAAATGATGATGGATTATCAAAACCAATCCATTCCCATTGGCCAAATTTCTGTCCTAAAGCAGCAACCACGCCCTGATTGGTCAACTGAATCAGCTGGTATCCAGCGTTTAATTTTCCACAAATCTGACAACAGGAAATTTAATTTTTAAAACAACGGAATTAATTCAGCTTCTTTTTCTAGGGAGCAGTGATCTAACATATCTAATTATATTCAAATCGACTCAACTTTACGTAGTTTAAGCCTTAATATGGACATAATATAGTCGAACTAAAGTTTTTTGATGTATAATATATCTTCAATATGTGAAGATTCAGAATCCGGATGATGCCATCCTGGCACCCTTGGCGAAATTTAGATATTCAAGATGGCCACCATGAGGCATTTCCTGACTATTTAGTGAGGTAAAATTCGTGACAGATTCTTCCGGACATTGGTTTGCAGGTGGTTTCTAAACGAATTCGGTCCGCCGAATCTAAAAACCTTGAGTATTCCGTCGAAAAGTGTCGGCAAATTCCGCTAGGGGGCAAAATAACCAGAAAGCGCCTCATGGCGGCCATCTTGAATATTTAAATTTAAAAAAAACCATTAGGTGGACTATATTTCCAGTTTTGTCGACCTGTTGTCGGACTACTATTACTGAGCGACGTTTCCACGTTTTTATAAACATACAAAATAAAGAGCTCATATACAAACCAAATTGGTATACATATATCTCAGTTTCTGAAACAGTTGGGATCACATTTTTGGTGTCTAAAGATACCTCTTAAGGGTCAAAGAATATGACTATACCATTTAGAAAAGAACCAGTATTGCAGTTGTTGAAGCTAGGTTCCCACTGTCGCCCGATGCGTTACGATAGGATTGTCCATATTGAGTCCACGATCTGGTATGTGCAGATACGTTCGGATACGATCAACTTGATTGCTACGACTGAACTCAATGTATGGTAAAGATTTGATAGGATCATCATGATTACTCCGCGATTAAAACCACGATTTCAATCGTAGCGCTAATCGTGATTGTGGGAACCTAGTATTACACACTAAAGAAATTGTTTATAAAGCCACGCACTTAAGGATCAAAGAATACAACTATACCATTTAGAACAGAACCAGATTGCAGTTATTAAAGAGGGGTTCCCAGAAAAGTATTTATCGGATGGTTATTTCCAATAAAAGTATGGCAATTTTGGTATATTTGGAAAGTAGAGATATCCAATCTTATTAGAAATATACTGGATTCCCCGAAAAACACTCATTGAGCGTATACAGGACAAAAATGTAAGGGTTCCCCTAATCGACAGCCCGACGATTAGGAATTTCTGCACGCGTGATGTCAAAGGTCCAACGAGAACATTGAGCGCTTGATGTACAAGTTGATAAAGTTTATGAAGAGTTAGACGTACAACACTTTCTGAGATAAAAATGATGGAAAAAGACGCGGGTAGTGGATAATCCTAGAATTTAATTAGGATTCGATATTTGTAATAAATAGTAAGCGATTAACGACAACATCGTCTTATGTGTGCAATGAATTCTCCTCTGACTTCCAAGAGAGGTAAGTAACGTGATGTAAATATGACCTGGTTTGATCGAATTTTAATAGCAGGGCATTCCTTGGTAATTACAATGTTTGAGAAAGATTTGAAGCAAAAATATGACAAATTAATTAGTTTGAATATGTTTTTAGTCCATATATACCATTAAATCACCCAGTTTGTACGCGGGAATGTATCTTTAACACACAAAAGAAACCGTTTATATACAGTCTGATTAAAACACGGATTCTATTTCGTTTCTTTTTTTATAGTTCAAAATTTCGTTTTACTTGTCTGTACTACTCTGGGATATGGGTGAGTTGTTATATAACCTGAGTTCTGGATAGCGGGAGGAATTAGCCAATGAAACCATCTGTTATGGCGACTTCTAGGCGTGCGATGCATGGAACTGCGGGTAAATGTCAACGCCCATTGATTAATAATTGTCTGGCGTCATAGGGTCAAAAGTCGTTCGTACGACCTCTAACGCGACATTTTACTACAACCGGTCAGACCTCCTTGTAGTGTAGGCCATGGAAAGTTTTTATAAAAATGAAACGAAATATAGATCTGTATTTTAATCAGGCACTTCAGTTTGACTTAATATACTGTAGTCACTGAACATACTGCGTTAACTCTGGAAATGTACAATATTTTCATTGAATATATATGGGCGCTAATCCCATTTTCTCTTCTTTTTGTTATTTTTTCTTTACAACTATGAATTGATGTTAAATACAGTATTATAGGGCGGGGTGTCTAACTGGCCGGTCACCTCTGGCTTGCGTACTCTTAGATAATAGATTAATAAAAATAAGCCAACTTGTCTGTGATATTACCCTAGGTGGACGCGAACGTTAAACACCACGAATAACAATGGTATTGGTTGAGCGGTGTTTGTTTTGGTTTTTTGTTTGTTTGTTTTGCGGGGGGGGGGGGGGTGTTCTGGGTTTTTTTTGTTGGTTTTTTTTTGGGGGGGGGGGGGGGGTCGTTTTTATATCATACATTTTTATTCTAAAGTCAGAGGCTTATCATTAGAGCTTTGTAATCTTATAATCTCAATGCAAAAAAAGTAAAATTAGCAGGATTAATTGGATAAGTAAAATCATGAATTTATATAGATCACCTTGAATTAATCCTAGCTTATGTAAATAATATCATTTAATAATAACTAAACCGGTTTCTATCTAGGTATTGTCATTACATTTTAAACCGCCAAGTGCTGATAGGCAACAATATAGAATCATAAAGAAGTTTAGCATTTAAATAATACAAAGATCTGAAGTTGATAAATTGATAAATAGACTGTTTGTCAGTTGAGTTAATTCATTTAGTGCAAGTAAGCAAATCTATTATATAATTATAATCGTAGATTATGATTTAAATTCAATGAAGGAGAGACTACAATATGGCGGGGTGCTTCATGCCTTTCATAGCCTTAACATGTCTTGATTTCGTTCCGACGTTCTTGTACCTAGCAACATTAAATGCAATCTGATTTAAATACAGATCTATATTTCGTTTCGTTTTTTTTAAACTTTCGATGGTCTACACTACATGAACATCGGACCGGTTGTTGCAATAGGTCACGTCAGAGGTCATACGAGCAGCTGATTAACCAATCAGCATTGATGTTACTAGTGGATTACCCACAGTTCTGTGCAAAACACGAATAAAGCTCGCCGTAACAGACCGTTTCATTGGCTAATACCTCACACTATTCAGAACAAGTCAATGATAACAACTCTTCTAGATCCTAGTGTAGTCAAGACAAGTAAAACGAAATTTTGAACTATAAAAACGAAACGAAATAGGATCTGTGTTTTAACCAGATTGCATTAAAGTTACAATTTCATATTTTCTAAGAAAGTCAAGACATAATTATTTCTATGTCTTTTTTGCTCAATAGGTTGTCAACTCACTATTATACGATCATAGGTGTCATTCTCACACTTTAAACTCATTTATACCGGAAATAATAACACAATTACCTCCCAATTACCTCCCTTGTTTTCAAACGTTTGAATTTGAAGAGGAAAATGATATTTTTGCCAATTTCTCAACTGGCAATAGTGAATTATAGGATTAATAGGATTATTCTTTAACAAGGGAGGATTGTTTATAGATACCATCTATTTTAAGGCTTTATTTTAATAAATTTTAAAAATATAACTTAAAAATATGAAATTGCGTTTTTAAATGGGAATTTTAAGAAATGGAGCGGTTTCTAATCTGTTTGTAGTTCGAGCTTGATTTTGCCAGCAAAAGAAATCTTGATAATTGGAATTAGAAATAAGAGTTGTCCGTAGTGCCGCTGTCCCGGCAGAATGTCCCGCATTAGACACTGTATGACATGTGCCCATCTTGATTAGGCCAGTCGGTTCAATAAAGCAGAACGTTTAACCACATTTCAGTTTATTTGGCCAACTATGATATAAGGAATTATTTGATCCTATGTTATAGTGGCGAACGATTCTTGCGTCCCGTGGGTATAGCGCGAGCGCTTTATGTCATAAGGTGTGTCACTGATGCAAGAATTCCGATCCCATGCAATTTCGGGACGGGGGTATTGAGAATAGTGTGCTATGGGCAAATTGTTCCCGGACAGCAACGCTAGGGCCTACTTTTATATCGAATTCCAACTGCCAAGGTATCTTTTACATGCACGCCCATGTGTACACGGACATCGGTTTTTTGTCCCATAAGAACGACTACGCAGCTTTTCTTGTCCGGCCCTCTGTCCTACACCATTGACAAGGGGAACCACGCCGGAAAATCCCAATAAACTTTCTCGGCCAACACCTGGATAGAACCCACGACCACCAGGATAGCCAGCCAGCGTCTTAATCACTTAACCACCGAGGATCCCCACAGAAAAGGTATCATACGCCCACCCGGAGCTTCCAATAAGACTTAATAATGTACTGTTTTAACTCTTCTGTCTTAAGATTATAGTTGTCTCCGGGTCTTCCAGTTTCCTCCGACTTTTAAAGACCCCTACGCGCAAGCGAATTATTGAAATAAGACTGAACCACGTGTTAGTCCCGAAATAACCTAGTTTGTTAAACATATCTCTCTCTCTCTCTCTCCCTCTCTCTCTCTCTATCATTGCTCCATCACGATGTATAGTTTATTCCAATCAGTACAATTAAACAGATGTCAACAGTTCATCGTGAAATCGTGCGGCTATTCAAGATCAAACGAATCGTTTAAACCGGAGATTAACGGATAATGGCAGGATTAGGTATAACGTTACAAACTAATAGTTATTGGTTATTGCATATGCATTAATGAAATTGAATATTTAAATTGTTAATAATCATATAAAACTGGATAAGAAAACTTTCGTGTTATCTTTCTTCTGAATTTAAATCAAGTCTTATTACCAATATTTCAAGACCATCACCATAACAGCTCAACAGCTGCGAATAAGCCCATAATCTCTTTGACATTTTCAATATCTCCAGAATGTATTTCAGGGAATTAAGTCTTATCTTAAATTTTACATAGGCTAAGCCTGTTATCAAATGCCATTCAGAAATCCTGAATAAAAACTTAAAACGAAACCCGCGATCTACGATGCTAAAATCCCAACACAACACAACCCACCTTCACAAGAATCCCTACACACTCCACCTTCCCTAGAATCCCAACCCAACACACCCCAACTTCACTAGAATCCCTACACACCCCACGTTCCATAGAATCCCCACACAACCCACCTTCCTTAGAATCCCAACGCACACCACCTTCCCTAGAATCACAACGCATTCACCTTCCCTAGAATCACAACACAACCCATCTTCCCTAGAATCCCTACCCACCCCACGCACGATTAGATGTTCTTTTTATTATACGGGGTTCCGTCCTGCGCCACTGGCAAGGTGAAATCCCCAAAGCTTAACCTTGTATCGAACCCGGGACTTCTCGGTCAATCAACCAGTGCCTTACTCACCGAGCCACCGTCTTGCATCAATCATCAGGGGTAATCCCCGAGGAAAAACCCCGATCAACATTCTCGAACCCAGAACCTCCTAGTCAATCAATGATCCTGTGTCTTACCCACTGGGCCTCCGTGACCCCAGAAAATGATGTGTTTAATCCCATAAAATCATCTTCCGTATAGGGAGATAATTGATGAAAATTTCAGTCAAGCCTAGATTTTAGCAACTGGCGTGGTTTCGATCCCACTGTTGTACGTGACAAGGAGTAGGGTCGCCTGTCCAACCTCGTGGGTTTTCTCCGGGTCTTCCGGTTTCCTCCCACTGCTATAGACCCCTACGCACAAGCTCTCTTTCTCTCTCTCTCTCTCTCTCTCTCTCTCTCTCTTATGGGATTGCAGATGTTGATGCTTACGAGATCAAAGGTACTGAGTAATCACGTTTTATTCATCAAAAAACCCACAACTCTCGTCAATTTCTATTTACAACTTCACGCGTGCTTGTTATAGTATATTTTCCATCCGGGTTACTGCAGATGTTTATAAGACCTTCAACGATTAATAATAAAGAATTATCTCTCTCTCTCTCTCTCTCTCTCTCTCCCTCCCTAGATCTTAAGACTAGTCTCGGTCGTCATTACTAACGTTGGTATGATAAAAACAATGTCTCGATTATCCATTTTCACGTTAGATTATCCATCACAAAATGTATTGAAATCCAGTAAATATCGTAGGCTAACGAAGGCGTCGAGAGGTGATTGTGGTATGGATAAATTAATTAATGTCAAATGAATAATTTAGATAACATTTCAGGCCCAAAGAAAGAGCTGAAATAGGCAGACTTAGTTCTTGCATAATTTATGTTTAACAAAATAATATCCCCTACGTTCAATAATGAAATATAGTGCTATCGATCTCAGGGTCAGTCAAATCCAGGGTCCATCAAAAGTGAGTAGGGGTCACAACGGCTCGCTAATCGAGCGATTATTGGGAAGAAACGACCGTTCATAGAACAATCTGGAATTATCGAACGTTTAGATACGTTGTCTCCCTTTGTCGCAGACACACGAACAATAACGTTGTCCAATCAGAGCTCGTGTTTCAAACACATACCAATGATTTCCATCAACTTTTACATTGAACAAGCCAACAGTGAGGCTGATGACCCCCGCCGAAATTGCAAAATAAATAGACGACACAAATTAATTAATCGCACATTTATTTTTTTCACTAAATTTCATCACTCTCTATCAGATAGAATCAAGATTATCTTGTCCCAAACCATCGACAAATGAAATCGATTAGCTCTGCTTAGCTTCAGCTCGAAATGTTAATCACTGAACTCAGTCAAGACATTCGCCTAATAAACATCTACATCAAGTTTAAACATTCACCTAATAGACACCTACGCCAAATTTGAACATTCTTCTTTAATTAGAAGGAGAGTTATTGTGTTCCAAAGTCTCAACCAATCAAATTGCTTATCACTCTGCTTACCCTCAGCAAAAAATGTTCATAATCAAACTTAGTCAAGGTATTGATATAATAAAGCTATACACCAAGTGCCTTCACTTTCACTTAATTAGAACTAAAGTTATCGTGTCCCAAAGCATCAAACAAACTGCTTATCTCTGCTTACCCTAAGCAGAAAATTCTCATCTTCAAACTCCATCAAGGAAGTGACCTATTGACACATACGCCAAATGTGAACATTTTAACTCAATTAGAATGAGAGTTATTGTGTTCCAAAGTCTCGACCAATCAAATTGCTTATCACTCTGCTTACCCTGAGCAGAAAATGCTCATTATCGAACTTAGTCAAGGTATTGATGTAATAAAACTATACACCAAGTTTCATCACTTTCACTTAATTAGAACTAAAGTTATCGTGTCCCAAAGCATCAACCAATCAATTTGCTTATCTCCGCTTACCCTTAGCAGAAAATGCTCATCTTTGAACTCCATCAAGGCATTGGCCTAATAAACACCTACACAAAGTTTGAACATTCTAGCTCAATTAGAAGGTGAGTTATTGTGTTCCAAAGTCTCGGCCAATCAAATTGCTTATCGCTCTGCTTACCCTGAGCAGAAAATGCTCATTATTGAACTTAGTCGAGGTATTGATGTCATGAAACTATACACCAAGTTTCATCACTCTCACTTAATTAGAATTAAAGTTATCGTGTCCCAAAGTTTCGATCATTTTGCTTATCAGTGCTTAACGTGGCCGAATGGTTAGCACGTGTGCGTTGTATCATAAGGTCTGTCATTGAGTCAGCTGGCGTGGTTTCGATTCCTCGGTTGTACGTGACAAGGAGTAGGGTCGCTTGAAATAAAATTGAACCAGGTGTTGCTCCCGAAATGACCTAGTTTGTGTCGAGTGGTCGTTAAACTCTCACCCCCCTCCCTCCCTCTCTCTCTCTCTCTCTCTCTCTATGTGAGCAGAAATACTCGTTTTTGAAGCAGAAATATGTTCCGAAAGGTGACAGATGAACCGATGAATTTTAATAGTCTCCGCTTTTTACATGGTATTAATTAGAAGCAAAGGTATCGTGTACGAAGCATCAACCAATCAAATTGCCAATCAGACGGACAGACGCGTTATAATGTTGGGTATTACGCGAAGGCCTTGATAAGATGTACCGAGTTAAAACGAGATCAAGCCTTCCATTGACAATGGACACCCATACACCGAGTGATCCAAATTGAGTATTCACTGGTGTCTACTGATAAGTTCATAGCTGTGTCTTTCTTTATTTAGTTTGAGACATTGTATGTGTCTATGATGACTAGTCTCTGTCTACGGATCTATGCCGTATATGACTTGCCATGTACAAATTCAAATATTTTTCATATATATTTAGCCAGGTGTGCCGCTATTTTTTCATGTGTTCCAGGGTGTGCCGTCGGCAAAAAAAGGTTGAGAACCACTGAAAAAGGGGATGGTGCTCCATTGTCCGACAGGAATGTCCCGAATGGACATAATTCAGTGACACGAAAAATCCAGTCCTGACTACAGAGGCAGTGTGTTAGTAAATTACGTTATAGCTGTCATGGTTGGTTGAGGTATTTTCTTGTTCGGTCCACGCATGCGATGTAGCCCATCATGTACCTTTTCACTCGATTTCACTATTCGTAGGATTAATAGAAATTAATTGCGAAACGTTCATTCGGGTATCGTCATGGTAACATGATTCAGTTTTAGCCATATACATACGATAGAGGATGGTCGGCATAGATCAGACTGTAGTCGCAACGATAGTCTGCATCCGAAGGTCGCCCCGACTATTACCAAGGGCAGCTAACTCTATAGTCTCAAAAATACACTAATCGTCTTTCAGTTATAAAAATATATATATATATTCACCACTTTATAGTTGTATTGAGAATATCCGCTAGGTGATGCTCCAATACCGTTTCCGGTTGGCTGGGCATTTAAAGTGTAACTTCTGCCATAGGCTCCCATACCCATGGCTATCTTATTGGCGGGAAAACCGGCAGCAATCCAACCGATCACTGAGCTATTCTATTTAAAGTAAAAATGTTAAAAATGTTAAATTGAATACTAAAATGGCTGAACAAATGTGTCTTCAGTTGAAAACAACCTCATTGTGAACATACCCAACGGAAATGTTTGTGGTTCACCGCTACACTAGGGCTGCCTGAGGTTCAAATTTGGGGTATGAGGGCATCTCGAGCCGAGGAGTAACGTACTCCTGTACGCCTGGTGGCGTTGTATCATCACTTCCGATTTCGGTGTTACACTACTTCCAGTTTCGGGCTCAATGTGTGCAACTATGCGTGCGACTCCGTTTAAACGGCCAGTAGTTTAATAAAGTCTTGAAGACGAAACTATAAAAAATACCCCACGGGAGGCTGGACGATTTACCCAATACCACCCCAATATCACTATATACTACCCAATACTACAACATAATGATGCTTCATGGACATATTACTTAATTACTTTTTTTTCAAAAATAGTAAGTTATATTGCGGGAAAGGTACCGATGTCTGGCTGTTCCATTTACCTTCCTATATCATCCAAAACAAGCAAATAATAACCCACTACTCAAATAGTATAATACTACCCAATATTATCAATTAACAACCTAATATCATCAAATAACAGCACATTATTAGTATAATTACTTCAACGAATATTCGATAATTTGCAGAAATTGGAAATGGTTATGCAGTTATCTCCCTCTACAACCGATGCATAGATTTTAGATTGCTACTCAGGATTAGACCTTCTTTGGCTTTGCAGTTGGTTTTATGGGTGTTAGCTAAAGACTGTACTTACTCCTTCAGGGTACAAAGGTGAGTGATGCTGAACTCCCAGTGTTCGTCCATCCCATGAACCATGGAAGTCATATGTCATCAAATTCAGAATATCCAGATAACTGAAATAAAAGGAATAATTGACTGGAATGGAGATGAACTCCCGATTAGTAATTATATTGGCGTTGCTGGGCCTTCTTAACGCATGGGCATGCTGGATACAAATGTTGAAAGGGGTTGCCCATTTCCATTCTTTGCTAGGCCTGGACAAATGAATCTATAGGAAGTGACGTCATATTTGTACGTGATTCACAAATTCATGACTGTTTAATTCCCAATCCTCTTGTTTCATGATTATTAACAAAACCTAGACAGAGAGTGTAAATTCAAACACTCTTTTTTGATTCTAGGTCAAAAGGTCAACAATCATTGTTATGTAATAAAAAAAGGGTGGGTGGGAGAGAAAGTGGGAATTGCTATAAATAGACGGTCTACATTCGCCTGTTATGAAATCAGTGAAAACAACTGCTAGGCTAAGTGCCCTCATAGCACACTGTATGGCGTATGCCCGTCTAAATTAGCTCAGTTCAGAGCAGAATAGTAGGACGTTAAACCTCATTTCATTTCATTTCCGAATACGACAGCGTATGGATGTATAACTACTATTTGAATTTGGTTAGCGAGGAAGACCACGGAGAATTTGGGGGAACGATTTAGAATGGGGTTTTTTCTGGTTTATTTTTTTTTTTTTTTTTTATATAATAAATTGTGAACTATGAATTAAGAACTAAGAATTAAAGACACTGAATAAAGAGCTGTTTGGTCATTCATATTCCGGTTCATCTGTTTACACATTGACGTACACGTAACAGACCCGTTAAAATACTTCTCAATATACATAGACCTACTTTCCAATCTTGGCTACTTCATAATAATTATTGGCTGTCGGCATAGACGCAGCCACGGCAGCGGTCAGAAGTAATCGTGGTTGATTTGTAGCAGCCGATTCAGCAATGAAGTTATTTTGTAATATCTAAACAGAAATAAAAAAAGAAAATGTAAATAATGATAAATAAGAAAATCCCAGAGTTTGAAAATAGAATAACTTAAAGATACAATATTGGAGATGCGATATAATAGTTAAAAACTAATTTATGTAAAGGCAATTTGCTGAAAATTTCATTCAAATTGATCCACTATGAACCGAGAAATAAGCATTGAAATTTCCGCCTAGCCTCGATCATCATTACTAAAGTCAGTACGATAAACAGCATAGTCTCGATTATCCATTTACTCGTTAAATCGTGAAGGAAAGTTATGCAGTAAATCGGCTCATAATCCACTAAAGATCGCGGGCTAGCGATGCCATCTAGAGTTGATTATGGTCTGGATAGGTTAATAATTAATGTCTAATTAATAATAATTGAGATAACATTTCAGGCCTAAAGAAAGACCTCCAGATATGAATATGCCGTCGCCGTTTGACATGACCGTAGTAGCACCCCGGCGGGTTGTGAGCTAGGCTTAACTAATAGGTCTTGGTCCGAGATATTTCCTCGGGGCTGTAAGTGAAATTGACAAGAAAAAAAAACGCTCTCGTCGGTTTTTTGACGGGCATTAGTAAGACCGCTCGCGACGAATTAAGATATGACCCTTAAAGGTTCAATACCACTCTTGTTGTAACTGAATAATATGTCCCAATCTTTATTCTGGTCAACAAATTGCACTATTTTACAATATTCCAATTAATTGATGATGCAAATTTCATCTTAACACACCTAATTTAAAAAATTGGAAAAATGCAACTAAATGATTTGAAAAGCCTGACGTAAAGCTTTTCAAATGTGACTTGGATTTAAAAATATTTTTGAACCCTCTGGACAAGTAAGATAGGATTTAATGGATAATTTACACAACAGGTAGGACACTAACACATCTAGTACTTAGAATAAGGCTATTTTTTTTATTTTTTGGAGCTGTCAAGGCAGTAAGAGTGTTATTGTCCCTTTAAAGAGATAAATTTTACAATAAAATAATTAGGCTTGTTGGATATTGAACATGCAAAGCAAAAAATTTATTTGATAGGCGCCAACGTTTTTTTTGTTTTGTTTTTTGTTTTTTTTCTTGGGTGGCTGGAGGGGTGGGGTATTTACCTCCCTTATTACGCTCTTTAACAGAAAAAAGTATATTTCGTACATGGTAACATTCAAAACTACTCTGATATTTTTCATCGCATATTACCTGTTATTTATTTACATTATTTATAAATGAAACGAAATGGGGTTAACGTTTTACTGTTCTACATGGACTGGGGGAAGCCACGGTGGTTAGGTGGTTAAGACGCTGGCTCGCTAGCCTAGAGGTTGGGTGTTCGATCCCTGCATTGGCCGAGAAAGTTCATCCTAATTTTCCGACGTGGTTTCCCCTTGTCAGTGGTGCAGAAAAGGACAGCTGTCTAGTCCTTCGGATGAGACGGAAAACCGAGGTTCCGTGTATACATTAGAATGTACGTAAAAGATCCCTTGGCAGTTGGAATTCGATATAAGAGTAGGCGATAGTGCCGCTGCCCGGGCAAAATTTACCTCATAGCACACTGTACATGGCGTACGCCCGTCTTCATTAGCCCAGTATAGGAGCAGAACAGTAGGACGTTAAACCCCATTTCATTTCATTTCTACATGGACTGGGCTAATCAACACGGGTATACTCGATACGATTTGCCATGACTTATTGGCTAATACAAGCATTTACGTATTTAAATAATATTGTATATATTGACTGATTCGTTATCTTGGTTAAACTTATCATATTTATAACAATATGGCTGCTCTAAGTTTTTGAAACTTGTACCTGGGTCCATAAAATATGTTTAACTAGACTAGCTAATATTCGTAGAATATACGTCTGAATGGTAGAGACTATCTGGGTGATCGTTATTTACCACTCGGGTTACTCTACATCTAACCTCGGCTGTATGACGGTAAGTGATATGTACCTACGCCTATAAACTTGCTGCTTTTAAAAGGAAGTTGTCAAAATTGCGTCGTTCGAAGCGGGTGTAGAATTTTCTGTGCAAAGTTGTCCTTGTTTGAAGAAAATCGGATAAACTTGAAAGAAAAACAGTTTCAGGCTTTGACATATTTGTATGATAAAACATCTTCAAAGGCGTTGTCATGGGCAACGCAGTTGGTAATCCAGGAACTTGAAAGTAGTTCCAAAGGCGGACGTCGTCATACAGCCGAGGCTAGATGTAGGATAAAACATTCTTCAAAGGCAACGCCGTTGTTAATCCGGTAACTTTAAAGTAGTTCCAATGGCGGACATCGTCATACAGCCGAGGCTATATGTAGGGTACTGAAATCTGCTGAGGTTTGCCGAGTGCGTTATTTACCTGCAGCCATCTTGTAAATTGGACTCGATCAGCAGCGGTACCACGTCTATCAAGATTAGCGGGATACTCCCAATCCAAATCTAAACCGTCAAATCCCCTCTGTCTCAGATACGTGATGGCATTATCAGCAAATGCTTGCATGGCCGTATCGTTGGCAACAAGATTAACATACTGAGTGTTGTCGGCATTCCAGCCACCAATAGCTAAAATCACTTTAAGGGATGGGTTGGTATTCTTTAGGCCTATGACTCCTGCTTGTCTGAAACGATAAAGTTAGCTAGAATCACTTTTAGGCATGGGTTTGTATTCCTTAGGTCCATGACCCCTGCTTGTCTGAAACGATAAAGTTAGTTAGAATCACTTTTAGGGATGGGTTGGTATTCTTTAGGCCTATGACTCCTGCTTGTCTGAAACGATAAAGTTAGCTAGAATCACTTCAAGGAATGGGTTGGTAATCTTTAGCCATACAGTGAGCTATGAGGGAAATTGTGCCCGGGCAGCGGCGCTAAGGCCTACTCTTATATCGAATTCAATCTGCAAAGGGATCTTTTATGTGCAATCCAATGTGCCTGGAGGTCGCGGGTTCGCTCCCGTTGTTGGCCGAGAAAGTTCATCGCGATTTTCCGGCGTGGTTTCCCCGTCTCAGTGCAGCAGGACAGAGGGCCAGATCTGTCTTATCGTTCGGTGTGCCCGCAAAACATCCCTTGGCAGATGGAATTCGACATAAGAGTAGGCCGCAGCGCCGCGGTCCGTTCAAAACTTCCCTCATTGCAGACTGTATGACGTATGCTCGTCTTCATTATCCCAGTCGGAGCCGAACCGTAAGGCGTTAAAACCCATTTCATTTCGTGTCATCTGATCACGTTTTCAGTGGCCACTATATACTGATTAATTAATATGTAGTTTAACCTTGGGTATTAAATTTAAGGCGTGTAAGTTTAATATAAAGAGTCTTAATAAGACAGAAATAGAAGCTTATGAATTCTTCCTTTATACAATGAGATCTGAAATAATGTAATAATATTTCGTACGTCAGAAATCTGTGTTATTGTGTTTCCTTCATCGCTTAATGCGATTTAAAGATTACGTCAGAAAATCATTTGCATCATCAAGATTGTTCTAGATAATTTGAACTATTGTGCGCCTGCAATGATTACCATGGATAATTTGGACTATTGTATGTCTGTCAAATATTTAAAGAGGTGACATGAAATGGGGTTTAACGTGTTACAATTTCTGCACCGACTGGCATTCGGTATGCTGTGCCTTGCGGGAAATTTTTCCCCAACAGCGTTGCTATGGCCTATTCTTATTTCGAATTACAATTGGCAAGGGTTCGTTTATACGCGCACATCAATCTGTACACGGGACCCTGGCCCTTCGTACCATCCGTCCTACACAAGTAACAAGGGGTAACAACGCCGGAGAAACATTAAGCCACGCTCCATTTCAAAAACGAAAAGTACATTTGAAGGTTGAACCAAGTGGTTCGAAACACGTGTGAACGGTCAGACCTTTAAAATGTAGTATTTTATTAAACATACATTATGCAAGAGCTAAATCTGCCTATTGCAGGTGGTCTTTCTTTAGGCCTGAAATGTTTTCTAAATTATTAATTAGACATTAATTAACTTATCCAGGCCATAATCAACTCTAGATGGCGTCGGATTTCTCCGATATTAAATAGATTAGAACAGTTTAGCCATATTTTGATTTAAGTTAAAAAAAAAAAATTGAGGAGCGAGACTTAGCGTAGATCAACCAGTACGGTGGTTGAAATTATTGCACACGTCCTATCAAACCTTCAAAGGCTAATATCTTCGCCCGCAATGGAGAAATTTGAATGAAGTTTTCAAATTATTCATTTTACATTATCTATTGTCGAACTATTATAGCAAGAATCTGAATGGCTAGCTCTTTATCTAAATCTTACATAATGTATCTTTAAATAAATATTTAACAGAATTTTAAAACTACTGGAAAAAAACATATTAAGATTAACTGGAAAAAAATTACATATATACAACATAAAGACATAAACAATCGGGTTGGTTTTTTTTTTTTTAGTTTCCTAAAAAGTCTAGAAGATGGTATCTAACTTCCTGCATTTTAAAACGTCATGATTCGAAATAATAATCATGTCAATTGCTTTAAACTAAATTAATTTTCTTGCCCCAGGTACTTAAAGGACAATATTGGTGTCAGCCATTATCACAAATGTGATAGAACTCGTTAAACACGTTCCAAATATAATTTTAACACAGAGATCATTGCTACGACAGATGCGTGACGAAGATTTAAAGAAACGGAAGTACGAAAGCAAAAGGAAAACACGAGTTATCTTTCTATATAACTGACTGAAGTAGCCAGCGATAATAGATGCACGGGCGAATTTTTGCTCACTGATAATTCCTTGGTTCGATCCCGGCGTGATTCCGCCCCTCCTCTGTGGTGCAGGATATGGGGCATTGCACGGAACAGTGCACATGTTGGCTTGGCCTGCATCCCTCCCTCTCTCTCTCTCTCTCTCTCTCTCTCTCTCTCTGATTGCTCCATCCCGACATATAGTTTATTTCAATTAGTACAATTAAACAAATGCCAACAGTTTATCGTGAAATCGTGCGGCTATTCAACATCAAACGAATCGTTTAAACCGGAGGTTAACGGATAATTGCAGGATTAGGTAATAGTTATTGATTATTGCATATGATGCATTACTGAAATTGAATATTTAAATTTAAAACTGGATAAATAATAAATACTCTCTCTCTCTCTCTCTCTCTCTCTGGTGTTACATAATAAAACAATGCTACTTACATTGTGGGGTCGTTCCATTCTATATCAAGAATGTTTGTCCCCTGTAATTTAGCGAACGCGTACACAATATGTGTACATACGAATGGGTCTATCTTATCTGGTTTAAATCCTCGGTATTGGGCCCAGTTGGTATAGTAACACATTCTAACGTATCCATAACAACCTGAAAAATAAAAATAAACAGGTAACTTCGAGGATAATTGGATCATCTATGCGACAGACAACTGCTAATTTGTAACTCGGATTATTGTCTTATCCGAATGACTAGACTACTGACAGAGAGAGAGGGAGAGAGAGAAATGAGGTTTAACGTCCACTCGACACAAACTAGGTCATTTCGGGACTAACATATGGTTTAATTTTATTTCAATAATTCGCTTGCGCGTAGGGGTCTTTAGCAGTGGGAGGAAACCGGAGGACCCGGAGAAAACCCACGAGGTTGGACAGGCGACTACTGACAGAGCTTGTAGCTCTGTGACTAAAGGCCTGTATACAGTATAGCGAAGAATGGGCTGTAGTAAACGATACAAATAGAGAGAGGGTGATAGAGGGGGGGGCGTAACGCCCACTAGACACAAACTAGGTCATTTGGGGACTAACATATGGTTCAATTTTATTTCAATAATTCATTTGCACGCAGGGGTCTTTATCAGTGGGAGGAAACCGGAAGACCCGGGGAAAACCCACGAGGTCGGACAGGTGACCCTACTCCTTGACACGTACAACCGGGGAATCGAAACCACGTCAGTTGACTCAATGACAGAACTTAGGATGCAGCGCGCACGCGTTCACCATTCGGCCATCAAACCCGTTCTGAAATTGCATTATAATCACAGATATAGACTTCACAGTTGGTGCACAGGCCCTTGCAAGTTTCCATACATGCTGTTCCCAGGTTAGAACCTGTCAAACAATCGCCCGCGCTTGTATCTTCGTGTAAACTGAAAATGGAATGGGCATCGCTTGCATGTAGGGGTCTTTAGCAGTGGGAGTAAACCGGAAAAAACCCACAAGGTTGGACAGACGACCCTTGTCGCGTTCAAGGAGGACACGGAGAAAACACAGGCGACCCTACTCCTTGTCACATACAACCGGGGAATCGAAACCACGCCAGTTGACTCAGTGACAGACCTTATGATACAGCGCGCACGTGCTAACCATTCGACCATCCACCCCCCTCGACTATGGTTTTAGAAATGACAATAAATGAAATGAAACGAAATCGGGTTTAACGTCCTACGGTTCTGCTCCTATACTGGGCTAATGAAGAAGGACATACGCCATACAGTGCGCTATGAGTGAATTTTGCCCGGGCAGCGGCACTATGGCTGTCCTTGTCAGGCCCTCCGTTCTGCATCACTGACAAAGGGAAACCACGCCGGAAAATCGGGATGAACTTTCTCGGCCAATGCAGGGATCGAACACCCGACCTCCAGGCTAGCGAGCCAGCCTCTTACCCACTTAGCCACGTGATCCCCCCTCCCCCCCCCCCCCCCCCCGCCGCCTAATGGAACAGTGCAAGTGAACCTAGTTGGGAATGTGATCTAATGGGCTTTGGGGGTGGATGGCCGAATGGTTAGCACGTGCGTGCTGTATCATAAGGTCTGTCATTGAGTCAACTTCCGTGGTTTCGATTCCCAGGTTGTACGTGACAAGGAGTAGGTTCACCTGTCCAAACTCGTAGGTTTTCTCCGGGTCCTTCGGTTTCCTCCCACTAGTAAAGATCCCTAGCGCGCAAGCGAAATATTGAAATAAAATTGAACCATGTGTTAGTCCCGAAATGACTTAGATTGTGTCGAGTGGACGTTAAACCCCATTTCTCTCTCTGTCTAAAACCATAGTCAGTCACGTGATATCCACGTGGATGAGGTAAACGAAAGTACAATGGACGTTGTCATCCTGTTATGACGTTCTTGTTGACTTTACTGATACAGTTTCTACAGGAAAATTTTGTTCGGGCAGCGGCGGTACTACCTACACTTATGGAGAATCCCAACGTACTGATACGTGCACGCCAACGTGAAATACTAGAGTACTCTTGGTTAGAGAGCCACCACGGCTTCCATTACTGAGAATAAAACGTGTTTTACTGGGTTCTATTGTGTTTAAGGCGATTACAAAACGTGACACAAACGGATCAAATATTTATAATGACCCTAATTCCAGACGTGATTGTAGCATTTACTATAAAAAAAATCAATACAATAGCTTTGATATAGTTACCTCCAACGGAAAGTGCCAAGAACATCAGCAACAAATAGTATGACGTCATTATTACCGTGGTTTAACGTGGTGGTCAATCTATCTGCAATTTAAAATAAAAGAAATGAAATGAAATGAAATGAAATGAAATGAAATGGGATTTAACGTCCTACTGTTCTGCTCCTAACCTGGGCTAATGAAGACGGGCAAGGGATCTTTTACGTGCACGCCAATGTGTACACGGGACCTCGGGTTTTCGTCCCATCCGAACGACTAGACAGCTGGCCTTGTCAGGCCCTCCGTCCTGCATCACTGACAAGGGGAAACCACGCCGGAAAATCGGGATGGACTTTCTCGGCCAATGCTAAAATAAAAGAAGTAACTGAGTAAATGAATTTTTACCAATGACAGCTAATTATCGTAAAATGTTAGAGAACGCTAAATCGGAGACGGTCCAGCACATTTTAGCACATATGACGTCATATGTGGATTGTGGCTTAGGGTTAGCGTAGCCTAAGGTTAGACGTGGTGCAGGGTTAGGGTTAGGGCTAGCCTTGTTTACATCTCGAGGCTTTGACGAAATCATCTCGAGGCTTTGACGAAATCTGTAAGTCCTAACCCTAACCCTAATCCCCTCCCCCAATTTCTTAAATCTCTCTCTCTCTTTCTCTTCTTGGGAGCCACGGTGGCTAGGTGGTTAAGGCGCTGGCTCGCTAGCCTGGAGGTCGGGTGTTCGATCCCTGCATTGGCCGAGAAAGTTCATCCCGATTTTCCGACGTGGTTTCCCCTTGTCAGTGATGCAGGACGGAGGGCCTGACAAGGACAGCTGTCTAGTCCTTCGGATGAGACGAAAAATCGAGGTCCCGTGTAAACATTGGAATGCACGTAAAAGATCCCTTGGCAGTTGGAATTCGATATAAGAGTAGGCGATAGTGCCGCTGCCCGGGCAAAATTTCCCTCATAGCACACTGTATGGCGTATGCCCGTCTTCATTAGCCCAGTATAGGAGCAGAACAGTAGGACGTTAAACCCCATTTCATTTCATTTCATTTCATTGAGATACAGCGCGCACATGCTAACCATTCGCCTCCCCCCCAGCCCCGAAAATAGAATACACAGCGTGATCACAATCATTTCCGACCAAGTATACCTTCAGTCTTCCGGAACTGCGATGGGAAAACGATTTGCCCCGAGTTATGCAAATCTCTTCATGGCGGAGTGGGAAAGGGAAGTTCTGCCACTCTGTCCATTAAAACCAGATTTCTATGGGCGGTTTTTAGATGACGTTTTCATAGTCTGGACCTACACACTAGACGAATTTTGGACGTTTTTCAACATCCTGAACAATCATCATCCATCTATCAAATTAACCGCAAATGTAAGCCATAACAGCATAGATTTCCTTGATACTACCGTTTTTAAAAGTAACAACACCAAAATCACAGGCCAATTGGAAACTAAAGTATTTTTCAAAGAAACCGACACACATCAATTATTGTTCAAAAGCTCCTTTCACCCAAAACATACATTCTCTGGCATCATAAAATCTCAGATTCTCCGTTTTCATAGGATATGTACTCAGAAGACCGACTTTGAGTCAGCATGTACATTGGTATTTAGCAAACTACGGGAAAGGGGATACTCCAAACGCTATCTACGACGTATAAAAAACAACACTCTAGCTGAGCTTGCCGCCAAAGAAACAAATAATATACAATCAGCACATAAAACCAAAATTTGTGGCCATCCAAGATGTCAAACATGCAAAATCTTAAACATATCCGACCATTTCCATAACAAAACATCTGGCACAAAATTCCCAATATTAGACCAACTTTCATGCAGTAGTTCAAACATAATTTATCTTATCTCATGCAGAAAATGTGACAAGCAATACGTAGGGGAGACTCAAAATGCACTTAGGGAAAGAATTAACGGTCACCGGTCTGACATAGTCACCAAAAAAGACAAACCTGTCTCAATTCATTTCAACCAACCAAATCATGACATTTCAGATCTCATTGTCACGCCAATAGAAAAGACCAAGAGCGACTTTGAAACTTCAGAAGAAATTAAAACGTTTAGGCTAACAAGAGAAAAATTCTGGATTGACAAATTGAAAACAACAGCCCCCCTAGGTTTGAATATTCATACGGCTAGCGCAATAGCTCCTTTTGTAGTTCCATTTAGCGCAACAGCAGCAAGTGCGTCCAAAATCATCAGAAAACACTATACTGATCTCCAAGAAAATCACCCGAAAATATTCACACAGAAACTTATAATTGCATATTCTAAAAATAAAAATCTGAACGACATCCTAGTGCACAGTAAATTAGATTAAATAAGACCAGTCTCCACCCTGACCCAAAACAAACCATATATCAAATCCTATGCCTAACCGTTAGTAATTAAAATCAATTAGATATAAGAATCCCTAGCCGTAACCCGGTGATGTGGAGCAAACACGATTTTTTTATAAAATCCAATCCGTTGTAGGAAACACACTAATGTGGCTCTCTCCCGAGAGCCTCAAATTTATTTTCTTTTCTCTTCAGAAACAACAATACCAGAATACCAGAAGCACCACCCAAGGAAGACCATCAGCGCCACCAACACCAATAAACAGTGAAATCGCCTTTGTATATAAATCTAATGTATTGTATGTATTTTAATAAAACTAGGAAATATCACGAACTAATTTTTCATCATCCTAGGTCAGTGCTTATGTGGAGACTTAACCTCTCCCCCCAAATTCTTAAACCTAATCCCCTCCCCCAATTTCTTAAACCTAACCCACAATCTACATTTGACGTCATATGTATAGTTCTTATGAGATTATGGGGGCATATCACCAAAGATTTTCCCATTGACTTGAATGTTAATTCTTATCACCCTGCTCGGCTCTAAGATTTTGTTGTGCTTAACAACATCTCTGCGGTAGAGATGGAGCGACATCTAACAATGTCTTGCTCCAAAGCTTGTAATGAGGTTGCGAGGATTTGTTGTTCAACCTGTAGGTTAGAGTAAAGTCGCGTGACCAATCTCGTGGATTTTCTCCGGAAGGTTGCTCTGATTTTCTCCCACTGATAAAGACCCCTACGAGCATATGTTTGTACCGAAAAGAACTAGTGTGTGTCGAGTGGACAATAAACCCCTGTCTCTCATCTCTCTTGCTCTCTCTCTCTCTCTCTCTCTTTCTCTTCTTGGGAGCCACGGTGGCTAGGTGGTTAAGGCGCTGGCTCGCTAGCCTGGAGGTCGGGTGTTCGATCCCTGCATTGGCCGAGAAAGTTCATCCCGATTTTCCGACGTGGTTTCCCCTTGTCAGTGATGCAGGACGGAGGGCCTGACAAGGACAGCTGTCTAGTCCTTCGGATGAGACGAAAAATCGAGGTCCCGTGTAAACATTGGAATGCACGTAAAAGATCCCTTGGCAGTTGGAATTCGATATAAGAGTAGGCGATAGTGCCGCTGCCCGGGCAAAATTTCCCTCATAGCACACTGTATGGCGTATGCCCGTCTTCATTAGCCCAGTATAGGAGCAGAACAGTAGGACGTTAAACCCCATTTCATTTCATTTCATTTCATTTCTCTCTCTCTTCTTATAGTTGCAACATGACCTAATTAAAAAATTATTTTATCTTAGCTCTGTGAGATTGTGGTCACAAGGGTGTAGTCTAAACGTTTTTATGTGAAATAAGACGGCGTCGCTCTTATTTATATCGGAAATGATTGTGATCACGCTGTGTATTCTATTTTCGGGGCTGGGGGGGAGGCGAATGGTTAGCATGTGCGCGCTGTATCTCAATGAAATGAAATGAAATGAAATGAAATGGGGTTTAACGTCCTACTGTTCTGCTCCTAAACTGGACTAATGAAGACGGGGCTGTATCTCAAGGTCTATCATTGAGTCAACTTGTGTGGTTTCGATTCCCCGGTTGTACGTGACAAGGAGTTTGGTCGCCTGTCCAACCTCGCGAGTTTTTTCCGCGTCCTACGGTTTCCTCCCACTGCTAAAGACCCCTACAAGTGAATGAATCAATGAAATAAAATTGAACCATGTGTAAGTCCCGACCTAGTTTGTGTCGAGTGGACGTTAAACTCCCTCTCTCTCTCTCTCTCTCTCTCTCTCTCTCTCTCGTATTCTATTCTAAATGTTTAATATGAAATAAGTGGACGTTGCTGTTATTTATATCACAACTGTGCGATCTCGACCAAATCTGGAATTTGTCATTTCCAGGGCTCTTTTACGTGCACAACATCGAGTAGACGGTGGATCTCGATGTTGAGTAAAATCCGACCGAGTAGACGTTTTTCTATAGCAGGTCTTATGTTCTACACCAAAGAAATAGTGTTAAACCAGGGCCCTGTTTCACGAAATTTTAACTAAAGATAAAATCCAAATTTTAGTAGATACTTCAATTTTGATTGGTTAAGCACTAAAATCAAGGTAAAATTATCCAATCAAATTACTAAAATTTGGATTGTATCTTAGTTATAATTTCGTAAAACAGGCCCCTGATCTTTAATATCCCGAGGAACTTTCTCGGCCACCGCGGCTTCTTTTCGAAACAAAGTAAAAACGATATTTTAAGTAAAATCCAATGGACGCATCTGGAAACGATCGTGTTACATATCCTCCAATCAACTAAGACAACCATACGTTTAACTGGACAACAATCTATACATCTGTCTGACTATCATCGCAGAATGAAGTGACATTAAACCTTGGTTTTATTCTATTTTACACTTATCCTTATCACCTTAACCACACTAAATTTCAAATCAAAGACTTTTTGACGAATTATCCCTTAATTTAAACAGTGTACACGGCGCAGAAATTTCGGCGAAGTTTCTCTTTATTTAAACAGGACACACAATTCAGAATTTTGTTTGTGTATACGGCGCAGTGATTTCGGCGAAATATCTGTTTATTGAAACAGTGTACACGGGGCAGACTTTCAGCGTCAGATCTCTTTATTTAAACAGAGCGAACAATTTTAAACGGTGTAGACGGCGCAGATTTCGGCGAAATGTCTCTTAATGTTAACACTGTACACAACGCGAATTGTTCGGTAACATATCTCTTAAAGATGGGTTCCCGCG